CAAAAATTTTAAAAATAAAATTAGAGAATATATCGTTAATATTTTGAGATTGTACGTCAAAATTCACTACAATTTTCTGCTCTTACTAGGTTTAATTACTTTGAGTGATTTTTAATTAATTGAAACAATCAAATTAAAGATTATTGCAATCTGTCTAAATTATTGAAGATACACAATTAACAAAAATTGATTATTATTATAAAATCCAATGTGAGTAAAGATAAATAATGCAAAAAATTCGTTATTTTATGTTAAAATTTCTATATTTCTCTCTTTTTTTATTTATATATCTTTCTATCTACCTATCTGATTGCTCATCACTGAGACAAAATAATAGTTGTAATTACTATAATCTAACTATAATTTTCAGTGTTATTTTCAGTGCCAACTACATATTTTTAGTAGAGTTATAAATACATATCTAATTATTACTAACATTATAGCATTAAGAACTATAACAAGGAAGTTTCATAACTATAATTATTTTATGAATTATAGTCACAAATACCTTTCTCTCAGTGTACATCTATCTATCCATCTATCTTAAATTTCATGTATCTAGAAAAGGCATGGTCCGGGAAGCGTTAAATGTCAATTGCAAGTTTCTCATAAGAGAAGACATTCATGTTACTAATTTCTATGGCGTAACCTGTATAGAAACCTATTGCCGGTGTTGCCTTCAAATGCAGAACGTAAATCCACGAAGCCGAGCACGAGTCTTTAGCGCCGGCTCCAATACTCATGCCACGTATCAACACACCTATGTGTGTGTGTGTGTGTGTGTGTGTGTGTGTGTAAATGCGCATTATGTGCATGTACGCAGCGTAACACAAATATAACGCGAGCATTAAAAGGAGCAACGAATAAACATAAATAAAATCGCGATTATCATTGTTATCTTCTCTTTCAATCGCAGCGCGATTTAAATTTCCATTCACTGGAAGAAGAAAATATTTGTGACTATTATAATTTGCTATATTTCTCTGTGTTCTCTCTCTAAATGAAAAATTAATATTTTGCCAAACCATAATGTAATAAGAATAAACTCCTTTGATACTATTATTACCAATTTGGAAAAAATGAGATAACTTGAAGCATATTGCTGTCTCAAAAATATCAAATTGAAAACAGATCAATGCAGCACAGAAGCTTCCAGTAAGATTGAATATGTGTGTAACGTTGCAATATTATAATATTAATGGAATATTACAGAAAGACATCCTAAATTTTAATAATTTATAATTAAATATTTAATAATTATTTGTGTATATATTTATAGTGCTAAACATTTAAATAAATATTTATTCAATAAAATGAAATGATAGTTAAATCAAATTAATAGTTCTTGTGTTAAATAAATAT